CGGCTCCATCTCACTCCTTAGCCAAATCTTCACACACACCCCACTCAATCCCTTCATCTGAATTCATCCACTATCACATTGACCTGCCCTCCCCACACCTCCCTCCCTCCAGCAACCGACAGAACATATCTCTTCTCCTACCCACAAACCCCCATCATTGCTCTTCATATGCACATACCTAGACATACTATTAATTTTTCACAAAGTTCCAAGGATCCTCTAGACCCACCCAACTCCCCTCTCATACATACACACTCCACCTTCGTCCCAGCCGTCCTTCGTCCCTACAGGGGATCCTCCCCTCCCAATCCCATATCATGCCACATGATGACTCCTCTGCCCCACATGGACAAAAAGCATCCCACTGTGCCCTCCCCTCATCCCTTCCATGCCCCACATACCCGACAGCCCTAACCAATCCACACCATTTATAACACCCACACCCACAACCCACCCCTCAATAGAGGGATTAAAATCAGTTAAGTGTGTTTGTAGTTAACTCCAACACTTCAGTCCATCTCTGTATTTCTGGAGCTGGTGGGCAATGTATACCTCTGCCGGCGTGGATTCATACACTGGCTTGGACCTATTTTTCCCACGTCTCCTGATCTGATATAGGCAGGTAGAGGCACCAATTGGCACTTCCCACAAGGCTGTGCTGGAGCTGGATGTTGGTGGAATTATAAGATCCTTCTGCCTCCAGCCAGCCCTTTTCCTTTGAGTTAACCTGCCCGCCCTGGGTCCAGTGTGGCTGAGGTGGTCACTTCTGGGCCGGATAGGAATTTTGGGTCCGTCTCACCTGATTGGCATATAAAAGGTGGGCGGACGTATTTTTGCCTATCCCACAGTTTACCCATGGGATTCTGAGGGCTATTCTAGGTTTGAGTCACATTTCAATAGGTCAAACTCTCAGATAGTGCGGAAGAGAAGGTGTGTTTCCGTGAGCTCCCAAAAAGCACATGGGGTCCTACCGCACCCAGCATCACAGCAACCAGGATCTAGCGTTTCACTTGCTGGGATGAGGGGCGAATAAGGTATAGTCTCATCCATTGCATGTCTTAATTCTAGACAATTGGATGGATAGCAAATAGGGAGGTTTTTCTTCCCAGTCTGTGGCCAGCTGGGTACGTGTTGTTCAAGGGACAGCTCTGACCAGCAGCTTAGGACTCACCCGCTTAGGATTGGAGAGGGGGTAAGAGATACCCCTAGAGTCTGCCCCAGGGATCCACATGACGTCCAGGCCCCTCTGCAGGATGAAAGTGATTTGAGTTTAAAAGCAATAAAGTGTGTCCCTAGTTAACTCCAACACCTGTGTCCATCTCTTTATTTCGGGAGTGGGTGGGCAGGGATTAAGTAATAGTGGTGGAGGAAAACATTGAATATTAATTTCATGAACTTTAAAATATCATGTGAATAAATCTACAGTGTTTTGGAAATGCATAGTATTACTGGATATTCCAAAGTGCCAATAGTCAATAAGGAAACACAGAGGAATATTTTAACTACACAAATTCTCAAATGCTTTCCAGTTTACATGTCTCCTCTACATTTTCTCTTTTGCATTCTTTTTCAACAGCTCCACAGTTCATCCCAAAAGCAGTCTTGACTGCCACTAGCAAAGTTCCATTTCCCACCCCTCCAAATGTAGGATATCCACAGGCCTGACACTATACTGCTTTCCTACTGATTCTGCCTCTTATCATACAAGAGGTGAATTACTGAGACGGGGCTCACATGATCAGCATTGCTGATTTCTCAAGAAAACATCAAACTAGTGGCATTCCCATTTGGACATAAGAAAAAAAGCTCTCCTCTTTTTCTTGATCCTGAAGGATAGAGATCCAAGGCTTGGACCCTTATAAATTTTAAACAGAAGTTTCCAAGAGCTGCAGATGGAAATGGTATTTGTAGTGATCTGTGACAGATTGTTACCGCTGATCATACAGGTAAAAGGTAAAATGAATGGAAGAAGCAGTACAGGAAGAATAATCAATTATTCGTCTGGATACCTTTTTATTTGTTCCTTGTTGGCCGCGGTTCTTCAGCCCCGGCGGCGGTGGCACACAAGCAGCAGCGGGAAAGGAAAAGGGAAGGAAGAGAGAGGGAGGGAGGGAGCAAGCGACAGACTGTCAAGAGGGACAGATGGACGGGCGCGAACTCTCCGTGGCAGGCTGAGAAAGGAGACGGGAGAGGGAAGTGCATGCCAGAAGGCTGTTCTCTTGGTATCACCCCCTCCCACGGCATGTCTGGGCAGGGAGTGGAGGAGCGCCAGGAGGAAGGAAGGAGAAGCGCACAACCAGATTGGGAGCGGGGCCCCTCCTTCACCTCAGCTGCAGAGGACAAGGCGAAGCAGCAGCAGCCTCACCAGGTGACCCGCGAAGAGGGTGGGGGGGAGAGAAAAGTAGAAGCCCAGGTGGCGCCAAACCCCTGAGGGAGAAGACTGCTGGGCAGGGAGAGGGGTCCCCTTCTGGACGTGTGGGCGCTTCAGGGGGCAGGCGGGACCCAGCCCCTACGAGGCGGGGAGGAAGCCCCGCGCTTGCCAAGTAGTTGCTGCCGCTGCTGCTCCCACTGCAGGTTGGGCTGAAATTAGAAGCCAGGCAGATTTTGAGAGTGGGTATTCATGTCGTGCTTGCGGGTGGCCGTGTTGCGCTCATGTGCATGTGCACAAGCGCAACACACCCCTCTGCAAGTGTGACATGTTCACCCACTAGCGTGACAAACCCCTCCGCAAGCATGACATGCCTCCCTGTGCATGCGTGCGGGGGGGGCGGCGGAGATCCATGTCCGCAGCCCAGTTAAAGGAATCCCATGGATTGGCGCCAGGCTGCGGATCAGGGGTTGGCGACCCCTGGGCTAGGATATTTAACATGGTTGACAAAAGACTGACCACCCTCTGGGACATTTAAAGCTCTGGCCGTTTGATCTGAGGATGTTAAATGAGCCATTGCTGATGAGGTTGTGGAGGCAGGCTAAAAAATGTGACAGAGTGTTAGCTCACACTGGGAGAGCGAGATCATCTGGGGGAAAAAAAGCTACTATACATGGAGTCTCTCCATGTGACTGGGGATCCTGATAGCATGGAGAGGCTCGAGGTTTAGCGAACGGTCCCATTTTTAGTTTAGCAACAGGCAGAGAGCAAGACTAGAACGCTACTTTCACATTTTTAAATTCATTTTTTTTCCAAAAGCAAATGAATAGTTGGTTGTTCTAGGTTTTTCAGGCTGTTTGGCCGTGTTCTGGAAGTTTTTCTTCCTAACGTTTCGCTAGTCTCTGTGGACAGCATCTTCAGAGGACAGGAGTTAGAACTCTGTCTGTGTTCTGATGTAGTGTGTGGGATTGTTGAGTATTTGTAGCTGTGGGATTAATTTTTTGTTCTTTTCAGTTTGGGTGATTATTCTAGATGGGTAATATAGAAATCAAATAAATGAATGAATAAATAAATAAATAAATAAACACAATATTGGGATTAGGGTGTTTTTTGTTATGGGTGTTTTGTCGGGAAACTAGCAGCACTTAACCTTACCTTGAGGGTTTATTAAAAAAAGAAGAAGAATGTTGTGTTCAACATTGCACTTTCCAGGGCAAAAAAAAAGATAGCAAGGGTGTCCGCCCAAAGGGGGAAGCTTGTTCTGCAAATGGAATGGAAAAGTCTGTACACTAATAATAAAATTAAGGTAAAATAATAAGAAGAAAGCTCCTCCAAAGAAAGCAATATTGTCAAATAAGAATTAAACTTAAGGAAGAGAAATAGAAGTAACAAAACTAGATGGGGGGAAAAAAACTTTGCTTAAATTTGCATAGTTTCTGTAGTGGCCAAAGAGGAGATGAGGAGACTGGGGTGAGGCTGCCCAATGAAGGATGACAGGGTCTCTGTCGAAATTCTCTGCTTAGAACAGTCCCAGGTGGGACCCTTCACTGAAATGAGTGACACACAGGAAGCCATGACAAAGAGTCACTGTTCTTCTCTTTGGGCAGGTTGGCCGTGATATGTTACTGTTTCAGGTAGAAGAAAATAGTCTATATAACAATGCAAACTGCTATGTTTCAATGATCATCCCCACTCGCCAGCAATAAAAAGATTGTGTGCTGACCAGACAGTACATTTCCTAGTCAGTATCTCTCACTAGGCCACCCTTAAATTTAGACAGGCACAGGCTGTACATCACAGCAGTAAGGGGGCTGGGAGGAAACTTCCTTCTGCCTGCCCCCATGCCCTTGTTTTATGGCGGAGATTCAAAGAGCTGCGCAGCCAGAATGCTGCAAAGGAGAGCTAATTTTTTGTGAACTGCTCAAGGGGTGCTCCATTTGGCATGTTTTTTTAAACTTTCCCCTGCACATGCCAAGCTGTTTGTGTTTTGTTTTGCAGAGACATCTTTGAAAAACAGTTTGTCTGTCTTGTCTGTTTTTCAAGATGGCTCCTCTTCCCATTGAACCAGACCAGATTATCCATAGGATGGATGCAAAATAAAAGCAGCAAGAATTAGAACGCCAGGGTTTGTTGTGGTAAAGCTGTGAAACTTAGACTTTAAAGCACAAAAGAATATCATGCTGAGCTCACTACCCATGCCTTACTATACAGTCACTTTCTGGTGGACAGGTAGATTGCACAGAAACCCTAACAAACTTTCTCTTATACACAAATGTTTTCTTAGGAGAGAGAAATCCATCATTCTCATGCAGGCACATAAGGTAAACACAGAAAGCCAAACTTAAACCAAGACTCAAATACTTCAAATGTACTTTAGTGTTTGTTTTTTTATTTCTTCTCTTTAAAAACCTTCTTAGCAAAGCAAAATTGGGAACCGATTCTTTCGCATCTTTGAATGAAAGCTATATACATTTCAAAACTACCCAATACAAAACATGCCACCTACAAGGATGTTTTTGCTTACTCTTTGTTTTAAAGGAATATTTCTGTTTCTTTTTAGCTTCTTGCTCTCATTACAACTCTGCTACACAGGAATCACACACACAAAGTAATAAAACCCCAAAACACAAAATATAATTCCTCACAAAGTCCACACTTTATTTTTAAAAAAGTGATTATTTTGGGTTCATAAAAGGGTTAAAACTTAATATATATAATATGTGCAACTGTAAACAGAAGTATGGGACAAGGCGTCAAATGCAATTATACAGGCAGAGAACTTTAAAAAAGTTTTAGCTTCAAGACCGGGTTATAGTTTATATAAAAATTAAAAACTGTATAGTCTTTCTTCATCAGCTAAAATCTACAGGATTATCTTAAACTCTAACCATCATCCAAAAAAATCTTGACAATCTATTATATTCAGTCACTTTATCTTTTTTTTAAATCTCTCTCAAGCTTTTAAACTTTTGTAGCAATTTTTTTTAAAATTTATTTATTTTTACATCTTTACAGCCTTCCAAATTAATGGAAAGACACATAAACAAATCAAAAGAGACAAAAAAATGCATACTGGCTTTAACGCAAACCTTTATTTTGAAACAACGTCCAGTGGTTTTGTTTTGTTACTGATTAAAAACTCCCCCCCCCACTTTTCTACACAAATGCCATCTTATTTACAATTGTAATTACTTTAATAATTTGTCACACACCCTTCCCACTGTATTTAACCGTCACCGCTCAGAACGGTACGCAGAAGCAGCTTTTTTTTTTCCCCACTCAAGAACATGGTTCTCCTCTTTGTCGGTAAGTTCAAACAGCAAGACAACTTTCACTCTAACCCTGATTTCATGCCCCACCTCACCCGTTACAAAGGGGAAGTTACGTCGATCTCTCCACGCTACTCTTACCGGGGAAGAGGGAAAATGGTGCAATTGTGCGTTAAAGGTCTTGTCTGTACAAAGTTAGCTAAGAGAGCCCCATCTCAGAGGCCCGGCGACTCTTGTCCTTCCCCTGGACTCACTCGTGTGCAAGGGGTACAGTAGTCGCCCGAAGCCTTATTCAACAGTAGGGAGACCATGTGTGTATGTTTCAGATGGTGTCTGTGTGTGTCCTGTATAATGCCCACATTTTGCTTTCTATTCATATGAAATCGCCATACATGGGGGAAGATGCTGCTGGGCTGATGGCTCTTAAGATACTCGTTATAAACTGATTCTGGTTTTTGTTTTGTTTCTTTTCTTAGAAAAAGGAAAAAAAATATATATCTATATACACAAAGAGAGAGAAAGCATAAACATGGGTTCTTTAGGTCCTTCCCTTTCCACCCGAGGATTTCCGAAGACACAAGCATCTCCTCTAATTCCCACCCATCCACGGGGCGGCGGTGGTGGTGGTGGTGGAAGGGGAGGGGGTTCTGCAGAGATCCAGCCAGCTGCCTAGAAAACCCTGCAGCCTGGGCGTTCCTCCCAATGCTAGTTCAAATATATACACAATATATATATAAATAGATAAATAATCCCAAACTCTGCAATGTGCCAACATCTTTCTCTCATTCACACACACAAGAGCCTTCGGAGCAGCAAGTTGATCATGTTAAACTGGGAGAAGGAACTGGGGTTTTAGGGGGACGGGCTTAGCCAAGAGCCAGCTGTCTCCACCACCTGCCACCCCCAATGGCAGCACCGGCTGCGAACCATTGGCCCTTAAAATCAAGGGCAAGTCCTGCACTCTGCAGATGGGCAAGATATACTCAAATGGTTTGGACTCCACTGGAGAGAAGTGCTGGGGTTGGCAGCTGGTGTCCAGGAGCCTTGTGCTTCCCCACGCGTTGGCACAGCCAAACCACATTATGCCTTGCAATCTGTCGGAAGATGGGAACCTACAGTACTTACTCAGTCTGGAAGGCTGGTCGGAGACTGAATCTTACTTTTGGTTGAGGCAGGTGGGGTGGAAGGCACAAGGTCTGGAAGAAGGAGAACTCCAAAAAGAGCCACCTCCCACCTCCACCGGGAAACTCTTCCCATGGCCGGGCCAACGCAGCTGTGACTCTTGATGTTCAGGAAGGAGGGTTCAAAAAGCAGAAGAGCGGCACAGCGAGGGGCTCACGTAAGAGAGAACAAAAACAGCAAAGTCTAACACTTCAAATGAGGTAGGTTCAAGTGCTCCTCGCGCATGGAAGATGGGAGGGGAGGGAAGGGAAGGGAAGGGGAGAGGAATGGAAGGCCTGTTTGTCCAGCTTTCTTTCTACAAGGCAGTGCCTACTCATCACTGAAAAACTACTTTTTCCAAAAAGCACATGTACACACACACACACACACACCCTTTTCAAATCCAATACCTAAATGTATACAAACTCCAGAGGCAGCAAGCGAGCTCTGGAAGGTGGATTGTCAAGCTTATGAGTCTCTTTGAAGCCTCTTGTTACCTTGGTAGATTAGCAAGCAATAGATATTAGGGGTGTTTTTTTTCTGGGGGGAAGGGGAGGGAATCTCTCTCTCACACACACACATAAAAGTTCCCGAAACACCCACACAGGGGGGAAAAAAAGGTTACAAATTATTCCCTGGGGATTGATTCAGTAGCCATGCTTCAGTCCCCTTGCCCCAGCTCTGCTAGACAGAATGCCCCCGTCTCCTCCCAGTATATTACTGAAGTCCATTATTTACAGGTGCACAAGGGTGGAAGGGCTCCCCATTTCGGCCGCAAAGAAGAAGAAGAAGAAAAATACTAAAAAGGCAACCCTGAGTTACCAGTTTATCAGTCCCCACCCCAGATGGGGTTGCTTGTGGCTGTTGCCCTTTTGCTGGGGAAAAACAAGTTGCCTTGTCTGGAAGGAGGAGGCAGCCGGCCCTGGTAGCCCAAACAGCCAGCTTGACAGAATAATACTTGACAGAATAACTGCAACGGGTGTGCCGCAGCCAATATGCTAACACACCAACTCCTCTGACTTTGGTTCCTGGCTGTCCTCAAGAGCATGTTGGGGTGGGAGATTCCAAGCATGCTTTCCCTGGGTGATTCTCTACTGCACTGGAGGTTTGGGAGAGCTGGTAGAACAGACCTCTCTCTCTCCCTCTTTCTTTCTCTCTCTCTCTGCAGAGCCTCCTGCGCGGTCTGTACTGGGCAGTCAGGGTGTCCCGTCCTTCCGCCTGGTTCCAAGAGCCTTGTAGAGTTAGTTCATCCACTTCCTGCAGTTCCAGGCTCCACAATGGCAAGGGATTTTGTGCTGATCATCTTCAAAATCAAACTGGTAATCATAGGTCAGCTGAAAGGGAAGGACACCAGAGAAGACTAAGGGTTGCCCGTATAGCACGTCTCATGCACGATCTAATCCATTTCTTTTTCACACCACTCCTCATATCCATCCTCACACCATCCAGGTTTGCTTTACCAATTACTCTCACAAAACCTTCCAATACTCTTCAATAGAGATGGGGATATTTGTGTACGAATACGCCCTCACAGGTGGAAATAATGAGGGTCCAGCTCCCCCCCCCCGGGGCTGGACTGTCCACTCACCATTCTGCTGTGGCTGTGGGCTCTGTGGTCCCTTCCTATCACTCCAGAGCTCGCGGTCTGCAAGCCACTCTTCAACCTGGCAGCGAGGTTTGTCCTCCCACCTCCTGCCAGGAGTGGCTCCCAGATCATGATCTGCAAAGCCGTTTGAAGAATTGTGCATCTGTGGGGGGGGGCTGGACCCTTGTTATCTCCACCTGTGCGGGGGTATTTGTATAGGAATACCCCCATCTCAACTTTTCAACCTGCTTCTGATACTTTGAAGCTAGGGTCTTCTACATGCACATGGGCCCCTCTATCACTCAGCTATGGGTCCCTTGGTGTTGAAATTAAAGGACTAGGGCCTGGCTGGCCCGTTCTCAGAATCCCTCAATTTAACAGGCAGGAAAGTCAAAACAGGACCACTCTGGGTCTTCTTCATGTCATGTTCTTCAACATAAACAGATGGCAGAAATTTACTCCTGAACATAAACCATGTAAGCAGCACACAAGTAAGGAAGACACTTATGAATAAATCTTTAAAGGGTTATAAAAATTTGCTCATCTTTCATTCATATGAATAAAGTATGTGATTATCACATTACAGCTGCGGCACCAATACAAGGATTTGTCAACAGATGAGCACAATCAGCCACGTTTTGAGGGATCTGAATCCACAGGCTAGAACGTTACTGGTGTTTGGCATAAGGTTTCTGGAACTAGCCAACACTAATTGATGAGGTGTCAGGATACATCTTGATTGTACCATCAGGCATATGATCAAGATGTGCCCCAACACTTTGTCAATTAGCTGGCATTAGCTGCTGCAAGTTATACACATACACCTTACACTGACACTGAGAAGATCCTGGCTACAGTCTAACATACAATTCCTTCTACTCTGCTGATTCCTGGATCCAGACAGTATAATTTAATATATCACTGTAACATTGTTCTCACAGAAGAAGGGGTATGCAGCACATAGGTATTGAAATGGAAGTAGTACAAAGTACTTGTTGTCACTGTTTGGAAACCTTCTCACTTTGGGGATATGGCTCAATGCCAGGATGCCAAAAAACAAGGCTTTATATGCATTAACTTGTTTTTCCAAATGATAACAATAGTATTTATTTATATATATGAGTGTGTGTGTTTGTACATCAACATAAAACTCACCAGGCAAGAAGAATAAATCAACTGCTAAAAAACTAGCCAAAAAGTTCAAATAAAATACACTGGTTGCTCACCTCTCCCTACACCTGACACCTTTGGCTTCCAGTTGCAGACAGATTTTAAAACCTTGTCTACATTTGTCCTACTCTGGTTCCAGACAAAGGTGCTGGAGGAGATGGATCGAAAGCCCATAATGAAGCCACTTTGTTGGATAAGCAGGTCTGTACCTGGATGGAGGATGACCCTGAAAGCCACATCAACCCCAATCTGAGTGCCATGATGGCAGCCAGGCAGGATATGCCGTGTTTTTCCATTTATAACATGCCTGAACCTGAGCACCCCAATCAGCGGGCACCCTCTGGGCCAGCACATCCTCTGGAGGGCAGCCAGGGGACACTTCCTCCCCCCTCCCCAAATATAGGCAGGGCCTTCGCCTGGGCTTCCTGCACTGTGCTGCGCTACACCCTGCTCGCTCACTCTCTGCTGCAGTGCCGGAGTCACCGTTAATGGGCAGCAGCGATTTCATGCCAAGGGGCGGCTGAGAGCAGCTTCTCCTTTGCCTCCTGCTGCTGCCGCCTGATCACCGCCTCCAATGCCACTCACTGGCTCCCTTTGGGCGGGGGACAAGGTGGTGGGGTGAGCTTGAGCTGAGCCCCAGCAGCAGAGGGCTCTGCGTGCCAGCTGTGGCACGAGGTTCGGCTAACCTCCGTGTATAAGATGACCCTCATTTTTTAACTCTACCTTAGGAAAAAGTAGTGACTTATACACGGGAAAATATGGTAAAAATGCTCTGAATAAATCAAATAGAATACAAAAAAAAAACCAACCCCACATCACCCTAGACTCAAAATCCCCCACAAGAACAGGAACATCTTCACACTCTTCCATGGCCATTTCCTACTCATAAAATTCACTCATCAGTTCTTAAAACCAGAGAACTAGGAGCCTCATGCTGCGGTGGAAAAACTGCAGTACTGCAGTGAGAACTCTGCTCATGACCTGAACTTGATCCTAGCCTCTCATAGCCAGCTCAAATGTGACTCGGCCATCTGTCCTTCTGAGGTTGGTAAATTGAATACGCAGCTCATAAGGTGTGGGGGGGGGATGTGTGGCCTGCAAGCTTAAATTATAAACCATCCAGAGAGTGCTTTAAGTACTATGGGATGGTATATAAGCAGCACTTTGCTTCGCTCATCGCTTGTTCTACTCTGGTTCCAGACAATGTCTTCCTTGTCCTCCTCCCGTAGTTTCTTCCACAGCAATCCTACCTCCTCTCCCTTGGGTATTCGACGACTCGAGATGATTATGATCTTGTCCTCCTTGTCAAAAGTCACAACCTCAGCTACACAATTGGGTGCGCAGGAGTGATTGATGTACCTGGAATTGGGGACACAGTAGTGGAAGGAAAGAATAATAGCAAGGCATACATGAGAGCAAAGAAGGATGGGAGGACACAGTCCATTTCACGAAGGTCACCATGAGGGCTTAGGCCTTTTGTAATCCATCTTCTGCTCCAGAACGTGACAATCTTGGGAGGTCTCTACGTCTGGGAAAGGTACGGAGGAGCTGGACAAGGTGACTTTGTGTTGTAATATAAGTACATAACTTAAGAATGTAACTTCTTTTTTAGGTCCAAGAAGGACTGAGAAATGCAAGGGTAAAACTAATAGTTTTTGTCAACCGACCTTTTTTGGTTATTGCTCTGGCATCGTGTATAGAACCGTCAAAGAAATCTCAAAGTTCGCCCTCTTTGGATAGTTAGTCTCTTTCAAACAGGAGGGGACCACCAGCAGCACAAAACTGGCATCTCGTCACTTTTGTTGGGCTTTCAATTCTACAGACCTCCTGGATCCAAGTCATGCCCTTACCCCACTGTCTTCAAACCAGCATTTCCTGCCAAAGGGGTTGGGCACGTACGTCTGCATTTGCTTATGTAGGACACGTATTTGTGTGAGGGAGAGGGGTTTGCACCCACTGCTCTAAGACAAGAAAAGCTTGTAGCTCTGCTTGCCAGTTCTAATCTCCACCCATGCTGATTATTACCATTCCCAGGCCTCTTCGTCCTCCTCGTCCTCCTGGCCTGCCATAGCCTCCCAGGTTCCACAGCTGAGTTCAAACATCCTTGAGTTTGGGACAAAGAAGTCTCTTAATGTCCCCTCGTCTCTCCTCCCATCTACATCCAATTGGCAGGCCCCAACAAATCAACAGCCCTGAGGTGGGGATATGATGAGAACTCCCAAGAGCTTTCATTCTTGAGAGATTTACTAGGTCTTCCCATGACGAGAATCTCTGTTGAGACTTTCTTGTGCATCCATGAAATTTCCCAGCTTCCTTTGAAAATGACATCCCCCATCTTTTTTGTTTTTGTTTTTCACCTGTCATCCTGCACAGGAAATGGCCAAATTCTACACAGGTTAGTGCCCCTTCTACACAGGAAATATGCCATTAAAAATTGGATTTTAATAATCCTATGCACAGGATGACTCTTTTGTGCTTTCAAGGCAAAACTTCTGTTGGAAAAATATTATTCTGTGCAGAAACTGTAATAACAATGTATAGCTTCATAATTTCCCCCCAGAAAAATGATCAGGATGTCCATGAAATCCCATGAGATTTCTTGGGGTGGGGGAAAATCTCACCAGAGATATCTTACTGTGAGGGGAAGGGAATCCCCCCCCCCGGTTTCTCTCTGAGAACAAGAAGTACAAAATTCAAATCCCTACCCAGTGGTAATTAAAACTTGATAAATTTAATGCAGAAAGTGAATTCTTCAAAAACTCTGTTCCACCAATGAGAAATATAAAATGAAAGTAAATGTAATCTAATACTCCCTGAAAACAGAATTGATCACCTTCGAATCAAACACACTGAGAGCCTACTTTTCAGCATAAAAATGAATGCCTTAACTTCCAAAACTAAGCTCTTTTAATTACTTAATATATCATGAATTTTGTTCTGGGCAGACCATAAATATTTTGGAGTACCTTGAGAATATCCACACTGCTGATATTCTCAAGGAACCCATCCTGCATACATGCAAACGCTTTCATGGCAGAGGGTGACTCACCTGGCAGGGCCGCCAGTCAGCGTGGCATCAATGACATGCTCATTGTTGATGCGGAACATGTAGATCCCTCGGTTCTGGAACAGGCAACAGTGATGGTGGGGGAAAAAACGATATATCATGTTTAGGAACCAGGGTCTTATGGTGTTGTTGTTCTCAACCCTTGATGTTCATACACTACTACTCTGTAATACTCATTTATGTGCTTCTCCATTACAGTATACTAAGGGAATGTACACGGCTGGTTTGGAATTGTAGGGAAGCTTTCAGTTAGTTAGAAGGGATAAACTGGCCAGACATGTTGCTGCCGTGCTTCAACACAGTAACCTTTAGACAGAGCATGCATGTCATTTTTTAAAAATTAATTTCTTATCCCAGTTTGTTAAATTCTACAACTTTTAACACTTTGAGATAAACAATTTAAATTTCCTTAGAATTCAGTGCTGAAACATCAGCACTGCCACTATTGTTTTGAAGTTCTGGCAAGCAGCAATGGAAGCAAGAGACCAAGATAATGAAAATAAAAGGTAATAAATCGAATTAACATTAACTAACGTGAAAATTACTTACTTACTTAAAATTAAGGAGGAAGAGAACTGGAAGATCAAATTGTTCAAGACAGGTCCCCATGCCAAGGGCCTTGCCCCCCCCCCCCAGCCTGTTTCCTAAATCCCAAGTCAGAACACACCCACCCCATCCCTCGTTTAGGAAGTAATCCGGATGTTTCTACCCCAATCTCTCCCCAGCCCAAACAAGCACCAGGACAGAGGACTCCCCTTCTCTGCTCACCTGCTCCTCGTAGATCTTCTCGCGCCGGTTCGCCACCTCGTTGCGGATAATGGTGCCAATGTATTCAATGACCATTGTGTGCTTCTCAATATCCTTGGCTGCGTAAAGCCCGAGCCCTTGGATGCGGGAGCGTGCCAGATACACGTTGTTCTTCCACTCCGTCTTGAGGCGGCGGTACTGGGAGGACTTGGAGTGCACAAACTGCTTGCTGTAGGGCGTGTTGGTTTCCCCTGTGAATGTGCTCTGGTAGGCTTTGGACATGCTGGTGCTATTCAGTGTGTGGGGCCTTTGAAAGGTGTTTAGAAGGGAAGGGAGCGCAA